ATTGCAATATTCACTAAGTTCTCACTCTTTTTTTCTTTTCAGTTTTTTTAAAATTGCAAACATAGCCTTCCAAATTATTTTTTTAAATTACAAACATAGCCTTCCAAATTGCAATATTCATTAAATTCATTTTTCTAAAAATTACAAACATAGCCTTACAAATTGCAATATTCACTAAATTCTCATTCTTTTTTTATTTTCATTTTTTTAAAAAAATTGCAAACATAGCCTTCCAAATTGAAATATTCACTAAATTCTCACTATATTTTTTTGTTAATTTTTTCTTTTCAATTTTTTAATTGCAAACATAGCATTCCAAATTGCAATAATCACTAAATTATCACTCTATTTTTTATTTATTTTTTAAAAATTGCAAACATAGCCTTCCAAATTGCAATATTTACTAAATTCTCACTCCAATTTTTTCTTAACTTTTTATTTTTAATTTTTCTAAAAATTGCAAACATAGCCTTCCAAATTGCAATATTCACTAAATTCTCACTCTAATTTTTTTTATAATTTGCAAACATAGCCTTCCAATTCTTCCATTTTTTTTCTTTTCTTTCTCCCCACTAAATTTTCATTTTTTTTATAAACTGCAATATTCAGTAAATTCTCACTCTAGCAGACAAATTTTTACAAAGTTACAAATATAGCCTTCCAAAAGGACCATTTCTCACTCTAGTAGATAACTTTTTACAAAATTACAATCATAGCCTTCTTTTTTTTTCTCTTTACGTAGCATAATTCTCACTCTAAGCTAATTTTTTTTAACAAAATTGCAACCATAGCCTTTCATTTTTTTTTCTTAAGTCTAATTTTTTCCTTTTCTTTCTTCCCTACACAATTCTCACTCTAGTAGATTTTTTTTTACAAAATTGCAAATATAGCCTTTCAAATGGACCAGTCTCACTATGGTAGATATTTTTTGGCAAAATTCTATATAATTCTCACCCTAGCACTCTCCAAATGAGTAGTCCCACTCTAGTAATTAAATTTGTACAAAATTCTATGTATTTCCTGCGTTATTCTTATTGTAGTAGATATTTTTTTACAAAATCCTGCATAGTTCTCTTCTCACTCTAGTAAATACATTTTTACAAAATTGCAAAACCTATGCTTCAAAAAGGAGCCATGGTTTTTTCTTACTAGGGGAGGAGGGGTTACCTCCGTGATGGATGGTAAGCTTAGTTTCTGTGGTAAACCATAAAAAAGCGGATACAATTTATTAAAAAATAATCAAAATTCCATTTTAATTCCGTTGAACTTGGTGAGGTTGCCAAGCTCTTACCGTTACTGAACCCCGGCGATGAACAATAAACCTGGTTACTACGGTAACCATCGCATGTGAAACCCTAAAACGTGGATGCCTTCTTCAATGCATAAAAAACTTTTTCTTAACATAATCTTTCTACTACCTCCGTTTCAGGTTATAAGATTTTCTAGTATTGCCTACATTCATATAGATATTAATGAATCTAGGCATACATATATGCCTAGATTGATTAACATATATATGAATATGGGCAATGCTAGAAAATCTTATAATATAAAACAGAGGAAGTAGTAAATAAGCTCTCTACGAAGTGCAGAGGTAAAAAAAATAATGCCATTGACAGTCTTACCAGGCACTCAGTATATGAAAATTAAACAATTGAACAACTTGATAACTGAATACTACTATTAGACTATAGCAATATCTATATCTATACTCCTTTAAAACACCCAATGGTGATGGTGGATGGTGAATGGTGAATCCACCACAAGCCATCACTACTGCCATATGGGTCTTCAAATAGTGGGTAGGTGGACTTTTGTCCCTTCCCCAACCTCAAACCATCAAACAGAGAGAATATTTTTTTAATATTTTTGAGGGCTTTAAAGTGTTGAGGGTTCTCTTTTTAAATTCCCGTTGCAACGCACCGGTATTTAGGTAGAAAAAAAATCACCAAACGTGCGGGTCCTATTCGCAAAACTCCCCGTTCCGTTTGATTTAACGGCCGGAGATTTTTCCCACAAACTCGTTAACCTCCATCTTCTCTTCTCCTCTCACGAGCTCGCAGCTCAAGCGCACCCAGCCATGGCGACTCCTCAGATCTCGCGCAAAGCCCTCGCCTCCCTCCTCCTCCTCGTCGCCGCCGCCGCCGCGGTCTCCACCGCGTCCGCCGACGACGTGCTCGCCCTCACCGAGTCCACCTTCGAGAAGGAGGTCGGCCAGGACCGCGCCGCCCTCGTCGAGTTCTACGCGCCATGGTAATAAGCGATGATGGTGTGCGTGCATCTTTGGGTTTTTCTTCTTCCTTTTCTTTTTCGGATCCGCGCGGGGCGTGTGTGTGTTCTGGATCTCTGTGATGATGAAATGGGCTCGGGATCGCGGCTGGATCGGTGGCGGCGTAGCTCTCATTCTCGGAATTTCGTAGCGGATTCTTGAGATCGGTGAGGTTTTGGGTGGCTTGTGTGGAGTGGATCGAGTTGATGTTAGGCTGGAAAAATATTCGGATCTTTGGCTGAAGTATCGATCTTGGCCGCGGAGTGTTGCGTGGATCTTTCTTGACATCACAGATTCGTTTACTTTTCCGGTCCCTTATTTTGTAGTATCGATCAGATGTGTGAGATTTTGCAAGGTTTTTAGGGCTTTTATGTTATATCTTGCGGTGGTTGGTGTTGGGGGAGGGTTTATGTATAGAGAAATTCGATATTTTTTAAATGTTTGTGATTGATTTTGTTTTCAGGTGTGGTCACTGCAAGAAGCTTGCCCCTGAATACGAAAAACTCGGTGCAAGTTTCAAGAAAGCCAAATCAGTCCTAATTGCGAAGGTAAATCTCATGTTTTTTAGGTGTTTGGAAATTTAATGTCAAGGCCGTTTTGTGTCATATCTTCGCTGTTTGCATGCCAGTAGTTCTCTATCGTTTGCATTCCATATGGAAAGAAAATAAAAATGGCATTCCTGTTTAGTGGATATATGTTATTAGGATCTAATAATTTTATGTGTTTGTTGATGAATTGACTCCATTTTGTCTATCCAGGTTGACTGTGATGAGCACAAGAGTGTGTGCAGCAAGTATGGAGTTTCTGGGTACCCCACAATCCAATGGTTCCCCAAAGGTTCCTTGGAGCCCAAGAAGTGAGAATACATGCTTCTTTGTTGATTACTCAATCACTACATTTTCTGTCGTAAAGAACAATGACCCTAATGTTAAACTTACTGTTTAGGTATGAAGGTCAACGTACCGCGGAAGCCCTTGCAGAATATGTTAACTCTGAAGCAGGTAGACGAACGCACTTTCCAACCAAGCTATCGGTCTCCTTGTTTGGAAAATTAACTGCATTTTTTATTACCATGAAACATATTATGTATGATATTTCAGTTTTCACCAGTCAGAGGATTATTTCATAAGCAATAAGTACTGAAATATCAATGCTACTTGGCTACTTCCTGCTATTATGGAGCCCAAAAGCTGTTGCAGCTAATTACATATCACTGCTTTCTCATTACATGTTGTCATGTCTCATTTTCATTATTTGTTGAACAGTTGGCTATTGGCAAACCAACATGCTATATTAGCTTTCAAAGTCCCAACACTGTTGTAAATCTTTCTGCCTTGTCTTTCAGCCACCAATGTAAAGATAGCTGCAGTTCCTTCTAGTGTCGTGGTTCTTACCCCAGAGACCTTCGACTCTGTTGTCCTTGATGAAACCAAAGATGTCCTTGTAGAGTTCTATGCCCCATGGTATGCTATTATGATCAGCCTGTTGTTCATCAAACCTTTTTATCATGCTGTATCAATGAATTTAATTTTGTTGGATGCTGCTTTGTTTTGCAGGTGTGGTCACTGCAAGCATCTTGCTCCGGTTAGTAGTACACCTCAGTATTTTGCAAAGTTGCAAAATAATGCATTGTCATTTTTCTATTTTGTCTAAACTCAAACTTGCACTTGTTTTAGATTTATGAGAAGCTAGCTTCTGTTTATAAGCAAGATGAGGGTGTTGTTATTGCCAATCTTGATGCTGACAAACACACTGCCTTGGCAGAGAAGTATGCTTTCTGAACTTTGTTCTAATAGTTCTTGTCTACATTGATTACCCTCGACATTTCGATGTAACGGCATAGCTTATGTTGGAATGGTATTTGCTTTCCTGAAGAAAATTTTCTACTGTTATTGTACTTCTCCTAACTGTTAGATCTAACATACACATACCTGTTTTTATAGGATGTGTGGTTGGTCATGTATGTTTTTCTTCCCCATAAGAGAATTTTTAATCATGCATGCCACTTCAGGTATGGAGTTTCTGGTTTCCCCACATTGAAATTCTTCCCAAAGGGAAACAAAGCTGGTGAAGATTATGATGGCGGTCGCGAGTTGGATGACTTCGTCAAGTTTATTAATGAGAAATGTGGAACCAGCCGTGATTCAAAGGGTCAGCTTACTTCAGAGGTAGTGCTTTTATATAGAAGGTACTTAAATACTTAAATTTACATAATCCAATTCCAATATAATCTATTGGTTGCTTCTGTAGGCTGGCATTGTCGAAAGCTTGGCTCCTCTTGTGAAGGAGTTCCTTGGTGCAGCAAATGATAAGCGGAAAGAAGCCCTCTCCAAAATGGAAGAGGATGTTGCGAAGCTCACTGGCCCTGCTGCCAAGTACTAAATTTTCATCTCTGTTTTTAAATTTTGTTATGTAGGTTTGGCATCGTCACTGTGTGAATTTAACCATTTTGCTAAAGCAGGTACGGAAAGATCTATGTGAACTCTGCAAAGAAGATCATGGAGAAGGGCTCTGAATACACTAAGAAGGAATCTGAGAGGCTTCAACGCATGTTGGAGAAGGTGAGCAACAAAAGTTTCTATTCCTCAATTCACTTTGGACATCATATTACTTAATCTAGAATCTGATTTCCATGCTTCATCATATGACAGTCGATCAGTCCTTCCAAAGCCGATGAATTCGTCATCAAGAAGAACATCCTTTCGACTTTCTCCTCTTAAAGGGTGTCCCACGTACCCCGACGAGCAATTGGGGTATAGTCAGTAGCGCAATGCCTGTCTCCAAGAATGGAAAACAGAAAGAAATGAAAAGAAAAGGCAATATCGATATCAGCAAGAGATGGCAATGGAAGTTCGTTAGTTGGGTATTCTGTTGAACAAACATGTATCCCACTGCCCGGCATGATCTTTTTTTTTTCTTTCTGCTATTTGCTTTTGTGGTTACAGGGATTGACATAGCAATCAGCTAGTTTACTCAAGAACACAAGAGGTTTTGTAACCATCCCGTGATGAGTGATGACACCGTTCTACGTTTGTCAATCCAATAATTTGATAATTCAGTTTACATTATTTCTGTTTACCCTGGTGAAAGAGAGCATATGTTGCTTTTGCTTTTGGGTTTGAAGAATGTGGAGTTGCTCCTATTTTGTTTTGTTCAGTGTATGTGTAGGGGATGGGCATCAAGCTAGTTCTGCCTTCTTCGAGCTTGGTTCGAAATTAAAATATTTTAATTATATCAGCGTTTTATATATAGTTAGAAAGCAACTGTAGAAACCAGTTTCAGCTGAGATAGACTACAAAACGTTTATTCAAACCAACCATAATAAGTTTAATCTTGTAGATGCAGAAAAACAACTGTAATTGGAACGATTTTGAACGACAACTGTAATTCCGTTCGTTCAGATTATCAACTGAATATTATAAGTTGCGGAGTGTCTTTGCAGACATCCGGTAGAGCTGGAACAAATCAACAATACATATAAGATAAGAGGAAAAAAAAATAATGGCCCTGCCCAAAAATGATACGCACAAATCCAGAAAATTTAAAAGTTCTGCAGCAGTAAATACTGTCAAGTACTAATAACCTGAGAGTTAAATAAGAACGATATGCACAAATCCAGAAAATAAAGAAGTTCTGCAGCAGTAAATACTGTCAAGTACTAATAACCTGAGGTGATATGCACAAATCCAGAAAATAAAGTTCTGCAGCAGTAACTGCTAAGGTTAAATTTCATCCAGGAACATTTAGTTCCATTTGTACATGATCCCAACCGGCGAAGCTATAGCACAGAATGATGTATCAGTTCATACCATTTTGAGGTTGTGTAGACAATCAAATGGCGCTAAAATACCGCATTTCAGGGGTTAATTTTACTCAAAGGTTACAATTTCAGGATCTCGAAAAGCACATGTTCATACTAGGGGTTACAGTGGATTGAACATCAATCAGAATTATCATAAGCATATGAGCCATAATCTCCCACAAAAATAATTTCCAGGAAAATGGCATATGGTGTGATCTCTCTGCTACCTATTCTTATCCATGCTGGTTAGTTTACTACAGTCCTTGTCCTCTTGCTTAAACTTGAGGTCACTCAGACAACCATGCGGGGTGCAATCCTCAATGTAATCTATATCATGCTCTGGTCGCCCATAGCTGTTTTCCGGCATCTGGTAACTGACTCCATCACTGATTGTTTCTCTATGTGATGACGATCTTTCTGCCCCTTCCAAACCCTCTAGATGTTCATGCTGATGTTCATCCTCATGGTCGTGTGCATGTTCTTGTTCTTGTCTGCCACAGAACGACAGTTCATATGCATGTGGTCCCTGAACCCTCATTTGCACTGACCTCAGTAGTGCTGTTTTCCTCAGGTCACCTCCATGGCACATGTCATTTGGAGAAGATGGGAACCGGCCTTCATTTTCAGAGCCACGACGAGGATTAGAGCAGACGACCGACGAGAGTGAGCAGCTGGGCAGAGGGTACGGGTTTGCGGATAAAAGACCAGATTGTGGTTTCTGGAATCGGTGTGGGGATGACATTGGACTAGTTGAAGGGCTAACCATTGCATCGGTTTGACTTCCATTGGGTAATTGAGTGTCGTAGCACCGGTAGTCATCTGAATCTTCAGACATTGGTGAGTATTGGGATATTATTTCATCCCTGCAAGGAGACATATAACAAGACTCATGGTGAAACACAGACCTGAACTAGACCATGATATGTGCTGAGAAGTATAAGAGCTAAATTTGATTGAACAAAACTAGCAATGCATTCTATCGAATATATTAGCTAATTAGAAAATTATATTCTGGATGATATTTAATTATCTTACTGTAAAGTACTTGTGTCATCAGCATGTGTATCTAAGTGTGTATTCATCGGCATGTTGAAAAATGTTACTTGTGCCAGAGTTTCTGTCATCAAACAAAGTGCTCCTTCCACATGGCCTGTGCCATGGATATGTAAGTTTGTGGGCATCTTGTTTGCTTAGCATGTGCAGGAACATGCCAAAGACCTATGTTTCATGAGTTTCAATGTCAACATGCCGGTGCAAGTGTTCAAGCAATCATTGAGGAGATCAAATCACGCTCTCCAGAACAACCAGTTCACCCAGAAAGCATACAGACAACAGATTGCTGTCCAGATTATCCATGAGCAAACAGTGCACATGCAAAACTACTAGAACCAACTAAAAAAAAATCTAGAAATTTCATACATCCATCATGGTATGAGAAATTAACATGAAGTTTGCAACAATAAGAAATTGAAATATTCACCCTACAAAATGTCATGTTGTGAGGTGCCTTAAGCTACCTATAAATATGGCTTTCGGTTAAAGTAGAGATATCGAGGATAACTATTGATTTTAATTTGAAGAACCCATAGGAGGTCTGTATGTCGTTCAATTAAGACGAAAAGGACAGCCAATCCCGATTACTTCCCATTGATCATGGGTTACAACCCCTCAATCATAAAGCATGCTTACAACTTACTAACTTGCTAAACATTCTGATCCAGGAAAAAAAACATAGATAAATTTCTAAATTTTGATCACACCTATCCATTTAACCATTTTTTTGGGGGCAAAAGATGGATCACGTTACAACTGAAGTCTGAAGTTGACATAGAACTTTATTTGCCTCTACAAGTTAGACTAACTATTAACTTCGGCAAGTAAATGAATAATGCACACATAATAATGAGGCCTTCACCATCATCTTCTTACCTTCAATATTGAATACTCCGATTTCTTACACCACAAAATTGAGCATGTATACATGAACAAGCACAGACGAAGTTCATCAACTTTGTAAGAAAAATGTAGATAAAATCTGAGCACACATACCTGAAATAAGAGGTATTCTCCGACCTCGCAGGGGACTCCATGATATTGTCAACCAGTGAATCTCCGACAGACAATCCATTCAAACTGGATGCCATTATCTGCAATAGCCAATATCCAATCTAACATATAAGTAAAACACTGGAATTTTGGTCTCACAGTAATAATATAAATGAATTGCATTCTAGAGTGGGATATGAACTAGTACACCAAGAACTGAAGCAAGGCAGCACCGTTTCACAGAGCGAGAGGAAAGAAAGAAACAGAAGAACATAGTACAATTCAGCATCCAAAACGACGAAATCGCCCAAGAATCAGAGTCAAATGAACACGGATCGAGACAAACAAGAATAGGTAATTAATTAATTAATAGAATGAAGGGAACGTGCAAAGCACCAAAAAAAAGCCCCTAAACCTGAAAAAGACTAGTGATATAACCAGTAATAAATCAAAGTAAATTACCCGAATCCCTGAGTCCCATTTCGCTTCAATTCCAATAATCACAGAGTAAAAAAAGGCCACACAAATCGACGGAACAACGGAGAAAATCCTCTCTCTCTACCGACACCCAAATTAACCAAGAAACGAAACCGCCCCGAATCCGAGCCGCGGCGGCCACCCCCCAAGAACACCGAGCCACGAAAATTCCCCGGACGCAGAGGGCGGGCGCTGCCATGGCCCATGGGGAGAGGGAGAGAGAGAGAGACCTCGCTGAGGTAGCGCTTGTGGGAGTGGAGGTTGTCCACGTACACGTCCTCCTCCGGATCCCTCCCGCGCTTCCCGCCGCCCGAAGGCGGCGACATTGCCGCCTCCCCGCCGCCGCCGCCGCCCACCATCCGTGGCCAGGTCGGGATCGCAAGCGGGGATTGGCTCGCAACTTCTTCTTCTTGGAGAGTTTGCGAGTGGAAGGAAGAACAGAAAAGGGAAAGCCGGAGGAGGAGGAGAAGCTTTGGTCTTTTTTTCGTTTGTTTCCTTTTTTTTTTTACTCCAGAAAAAAGAAAGTATCATTTGCAATTGGGCCGGCCGATTAACGGCCCGGAAAGCAAAATGGGGCCCCATTAATGCATAATACTTGAGCCAATGATAATATTCTGTTCTGTTTTTCTTCACTCGTATGACTATTTTTCTCCTACCTTTAAGTTGTACTCCTTCTGTCCCTTTTTTTTTAAGGTAAATGATGTTACATGACATCGTGACTTCGCAGTTTTAGCAGTAGGATATCGCGCAAAGTGATTTTTAGGTGAAGACACTCTCAAGAGTTAGGCCATGCCCAACGCTCCACGCTAGAGTGTGGTCTCACCCCTCTTGACGCGAATATTTGTGCCAGCTCGACTGGGACCGTGCCCTCGCAGAGCTCCGCGACCCCCTGCAGAGTGTCGTATGGTTTCGTCAGCTTTTGGCGAGGAAAATGTGAGGAATGGGCGAGGAACCGAATTGGGGGAGAGGTGTCGCTCTGTCCCGTAGCCCCAGGACGTTGAGGCCAACTACCTCCTGCGCCAAGGTCGAAGATGGCGAGGAAGTAGGCAGGGGAGAAGAAGATGGGGCGCCGCCGCCTCCATCCGGCGCCAACGTGCCTCGATCCGCCCCTGCCGCCTCCATCCGGCGTTGCCGCGCCTCAATCTGCCACTACCGCGCCTCGATCCGCCGCTCGATCCGGCGACACCGCCTCGATTCGCCGCCGCCGCCTTCATCCGTTGCTGTTGCGCCTCAATCCAGTGTCGGGGAGAGAGGCGCACCGCCAGGGAGGGGAGCGCCGGGGAGAGATTGGGAGGGGAGATGGTCATGAGAGGACTGATGGTGGTATTTATATATGTTTGTGATTTTTAGGGGGTATATTGCAAATATTGTATGTATATGCAAATAAAAATAATCCAAGGGTTAAAATGCAAAATGTGACCGACTGACAGGTACTGAAACGTAAAAATAAGATAGGGGTATGGCTTGCACTGTGTGAGGGATATCACCGGTGTGGTTTCATCCCACTTGGCATCACCTTTTTTTATGGGGCTATACCCTGTGTTGGGCATGCCCTTAGATATTTGCTAGTGGACACCGTATCTATTAAAATAATAATTTCCGGATAAGGAGGAGAGAAAAATCGCGTGAAATATCAAAAATGTCCTTGGGTTGATCCACATGTCAACTCTCATATGTCTCTTCTCTCGATCCCCTCCTTCTAGCGCAGCATCGGGTCGGAGCTCGACATGGCCTCCGGAACTCCTCCTCGACACCCCACTCCCCAGGCAACGCGGACGACGATGACAGGGAACGGCGGCGACGGCACCACACCAATTCCGACTGGCGTAGCTCCGGCGATGCCGCCCTGGATCCACATGACAGTCGTCGCCCTCGCCCTCACGGCGAGTTCCTTGGTGCGTGCCCTCCTCATTGTGCCACCGTCCATCAGCTCGGTCGCAGCCGTCACCACGTCGGCGCTAGCGACCTGCTCGCACCACCGCCACTGCCTTGCGCTGGCCAGAGCAACGCCGCATCCCCTGCACCAAACAAACCAACACCTCGTTGAGTCCCTTCTGTTTTTCCTCGCGCCATCACGCTCCCAAGACCTCTCTAACTCTATTCCCTCAAAAAATTTAAAGGGAAGTTGAGCGGAGAGCCGCCGCCGCCGGCCGCCTCGGGACCTCGCCGCTGCGCAGCTCCAAACTGCCTCTCAATAGTTCCAAAGCCCTTTCCTCTCCTTTAATCGAGCCGCCATCCACCATAGCCACATCGCCATCGCCATCCCAAACCCACTGCGCCGCCGGCCATGGCGCTCCCTGACTCTAGCCACCCTTGGCCACGTCGCTGCCTCTAGAAGGTGCGGGAGGGCCCACTATAGCCGTCCCGGCCTTCGGCCAAGCCACCCCCTGCGCCGCCCGTTGCCAACGGGCACGTGCCAAGCCGTCACGCACGCTCACATTCCCACCGAGATGCGGCGTGATGCGATGCATCACCGGAAGGAGGGGATAGAGAGAAGAGAGATAAGGGAGCTAACATGTGGGCCCAAGGGCATTTTTGATATTTCACGCGATTTCTCTCCTGACCTGAAAATTATTATTTTAATGAGTGTGGTGTCCACTAGCAAATATCCAATTTTTTATAGTGTCTTCCCTCAAAGTCATTTCACGCAGTGTCTTACAGCTAAAACCGCGAAGTCACGGTGTCCTATCACAAAATTTGCCCTTTTTTTTTTAACATACTGAAAACTAACCATTTTCTAATCCTGCATCATGCCGCTTTTTATGTTTTCAATAACTTCCTAAACCTAGGAAAATACAATTAGAGGGACCTTCTAAAACTAACTTGCATAAAATCTCTTTCTGGTATTTAACTTCTTTTGTGTTTTTCATTTAAAAATATAGTTGGTTAAATTAAGGTGTTTCTTGATTTGGTTTTAATTTAAAACCTTCCTTTGACTAAAATTCTTTTATTCAAATTTAGTTTGAAAACCCTTTTTACTTTTATGAATTATGGTCCAAGAAACCTTCCCATACTGTCCTAGAACCTAAAACAAAGCAATTCCAATTTTATTAGAATTAATTGTTAACCCATCCTTTGATCTTAAACCTATTATTTGATTCTTGATCCAAATTCTTCCTTTTGATCTAGCCACTGATTTAATTCCTGTGGCTTGATTTCCTTTTTGGCACAAGAATAATATTATTGCAAATATTGTGAATAATTGCTCTTGTGCTAAGAAAATACCAATTTATATTCTTCACTCAACTTTCCCTATTAGCCACAAATAATTCTTCAAATACTTCTACTATCAAATTTAGGATTCAAATCCTATTTATTTTACCTCCAATCATTCTCTTCCAAACATATATATATATATATATATATATATATATATATATATATATATATATATATATATATATATATATATGTCGTAGGCTCTCCGGACCTTCCATTATAATTGAGAGATGAAGTGAATAATTCAAGTCATCAAACAAGCATAATGAAATATCCGACGCCTCGAGAGAGGAATATTGGAGATATTGCTAGGCCTTTAGCCTGCCAGTCAACTTCAGCCTGAGACGTGCCCGTCAAACCACTCGAAGGCGGCGACCAGATGTGTTACACATTCAGGAGACTTGACAAAAATGGCTAAAGTTCTACAACATCTCAAATATTCCTAACTCATACTCATGTGAATCTAGTTCCCAGGATGTGCACTAGATTCACATTTTCATCTCAAGCATGATTATACATAGCAAACACAAATAAGATGAAAGCGATTATAAACTACATCTACTTTAGTTACATTGGCCGACCGGCCAAATAAATAATAGAACAGCGGAAACTTGTCTACCCAATCCACAAGCACACCGACTAGGGGTTTACCCATTATGTTCAAGTCCTAGAAGAAGCAGTCGATAACCCGCATCACTCAAAGACTAAGTCTAAATCCTGCAAGCAAAAGTTAATTCAACAGCAAGAGTCAGTACATTATTAGAAATAATGTACTGGCAAGCACCAAGACAAGCCTAACACCCTACTTGCAAGGTATATAATCAAGGAAGGCATAGTATGGTTCTTTTTAGCATAAAGCAAGTTTTATTTGCATAAAACACATTCAAAACGGATTTGCTTTCAAATAAAATTTCAGCAAGCTAGTACTTAGCATATGGGCATCAAAGTAGGCATTAATCATGTATAAATATTCACCTCATTGCCATCCATGGCAGCAAAGAGATCATTCTCAAATCTCATCACAATTTGAAGGTAAATTTCAGCATTTAGGAGAATAAACACAAGTCTATACTCAATACATATCCACACGCCGCTCATGACCGCGAGCACGGCTAATCGATTAGTTTTAACTCTGCAGAGTTTGTACACTTTACCCACATGATGCGAAATAATAATCATGCAAGAGCATGGCACGCGATACATAAGTACCCGATTTATTACCCGCAACAAAGCTTTTCCAAAATTCATGATTTAGCCTTACACCAGCACGATACGTGTTCCTCCATCCTAGTCATACTGGAAATATGACCTAGAACCGTTAAGTGGCGGGCCCACGCCTTGAACTTAACGCCGTGGTGGCGGACACAACGGGAACCCACCCACGTGGCACAATACCGTTGTATTGGACAGACTTAGTCACCTAAACTACCACGTCGGGGTAAATAGGAAGTTCCTCTGAGTTATCCGAACTCATACACACCGGCCTACCAGAATGTAAGGCTAAACCATAAATAATTTACTAAGTTTGGACTATCCCATACTAGCACATGTGGTTGTACTGTATACGAAATGAACTGACATTGAGTGAAGTCCTTAGGTCGGTTTGGGCGCACTCTCCCCCTATCGGTACACAACTAATCACCATATGTGCACCACTTGAGGCCCAAACCTAAAATCCATGCTTTCCACCATTTTATTTATCAAAATCACAAGTATTAAAGTTCTGTCCAGATTAATTAAAAATCAATTTTCATGTTTGAAATGAGCCCATAATGACAAGGAAGACCATTCTAAGCATGGCTATGCTTTATAGTAACCTAGTGTCACCAAAACTCATATATAAAGTGGTATAGCCATATTGTTCCTAAGGTTAGGAATGAGGAATATGGATATATGTGGAGTTAAGGTGATAATGCAAATAATAGGAGTTTATCTAACAAGTTTAACAAAATTTTAATTTATTAGTGTACAATCGACATGCAAGATTTGCAAACATTTTCAATAACCTCCAAAAGATAGGTTCAAAGTGATCAAAGAGAGGGAGGTGGGACTTGCCTTGCAACTGGAAAATGTCAGCACCTAAATCACTTCTTCACCGATTAAGCAATCATCTATACAAAGTACACGTTATGCAATTAAACACCGAAATATGCGAAAAATCCAAAATGCTCTAAAATGGATGATTTGTGCACAGTGAATAGGTACCGGTCTAAAATTAATTTAGGTGAAAGAATTTCTATTTTATCTCATTTTATTTGGGAGTT